CACTAGAAGCTTCTCATAGAGTTGAGCATCATTTTTCAAATGGCTGGTCTAACCCTGGTAGAAGTAAGAAGATGGTCAACATGTAGCTCACAGTTCTCCTATTTGTCTCATAGATATGAGCTGTGACTTTATCAAAAATACATCTGACATTAAAACTTTTATCTGGGGGTTTTTTAGATGGGTCAGGTGGGGTAGTGCTTGCTGGACAAGCATAAGGACCTGAATTCAGATCCTTAGCATCCATGTAAAAAAGAAAGCCAGGCATGGCAGCACCTGTAACCTTGGCACTGGGGAGGCAGGCATAGAGGATGCCCAAGGCTTTTCAGGTAGCTAGCCTTGCCAAATTGGTGAGCTCCATGTTCAGTGACCAACTTTGTCCCAAAAAGTAAGGTACAGGGTGATAGGAGAAGGCTCTCAATGTTGACCTCTGACCTCCACACACAGAAACACACTTTTGCATGCATATGCACACATATGTGCACACATGAACACATATACACATGAACACATACAAAGCACACACAAATCTTTCTGCAAGAGCATCTCAAACTGTGATTCTCCTAGGAGAAAATGATTACATTTTTCATTATTAATTTACCAGATCTCTTTTTTCCATTCATTCAAATCTGCTAATTTGTCCTCTTTAATTGAATTTATATAAAACATCTGTGTATATTCTTACCACAGGAAAGCACTATCATGAAAAGAAAATAGGTGCCAGTCATCTGATGTAAAAGTACAGACACATCATAATAGTAGATGGCTGCTAACTGAGTACCAGATCTACAGACAGCATCGTCTTGGCTTGTCCCTTGTCTTTACCTTCAGATCTTTTACAGAGGTTAGTACCACACTGTCTGGATTCTCCTCCAATTCTACACTGCTCCTGCTGGTCTCTTTCAACAAGTTGTCTTCCTCTGTGCCCTGGCACCCACCCCCAGGTCCCTGTTCTTGTTGAATTTAATCTTGGAGACCTCATTTCTCCTTATAGCTTTCCCCACCCCTTCAGCTATGGTTAACTCATCACTAGTATTGTCCCTTAACTTGTATTCCTATCTTGACTATCTGGCAGAGCCTGTCATCTTTCAATAGGTAAAAATATCTCCATTTATATCACTATGAAGTCTGGTATTAATCCCTCTCCTACGGAGAGACTTAACTAATCTCCACGATCAGATTTTATTTTTTAAAATCCTCCCATGTCCATGGTTCAGAGGAACTGTGTGAGATATTGCTGTGGATTGACCCCTATACTTTAAGCACAGTAGAGACAAAACTCTACCATGGAAATAAATCCCCAGACTGGAATCTTACACTTCTGCTGTACATTTAACATATAACTGCCTCAAAATTGCAAGTATGTGCATATCGTTAACCTTTACTAAGTAACAGGAATGTAGAATGCAAAGAAAAGTTAAAGATTTGGATTTCTTTCATTGTTCTAGTTTAACTTCATATACGCTTTGATTTTTCATCTATAAAATGGAAATAAGACATCACTTTATAAGGACTCTGTAAATTCAAAAGAAGATTGATAGAAGGTAGCTTGTGCATGGAATAAGGCTCACAGGACGCCTCCAGGAGCAATACAGATGCTTGCTCTGAGTCCTTGAGGGGAAGAGATGAGATCTCAAGAGGACTCAAAACGTAGTTAGAACACTACCACCTAAGCATCTGTCAGCTCTCTACTAAGGGTACGACACTTGAAATGAGTTCAAAACTGCAATGTTTTTATTTACTATTAAAGCATTCTCCCAGGAAGTGATTTTACAGCAAGGGAATGCCTAGAAGCCAGTGTTTGCGGATACAGTATTTGGATTTTTTTTCTTTTTCTCTAAACTATGCCTTTCTAGATCCATAAAAGAAATAACATAAAGAAACCATTATTTCTGGCCACTGGCTTCAATGATGCTCACTACCACCTTGTAACTTTAGTAGAAACGTGGGTAAATGGCAGCTCCTCTGGAAGTATTTGTTTCAATGAGTTGCTTTTAAGGAGTAAACAGCACTCTCTACCCTAGGGTGCTGGTATTTAATGACTTTACATGCCGGGTTTTTGTTCCTTTGGTGTCTTGCAGTATTCTGTGGTAGCTTTTAACTAATTATTTAATTTCTTAAGAGGAAGTATGTATTAAAAACCTCAGGATGCTCCTTTTTATAAGCAATATTTTATTCTACCTCTTCCTGTAATCAAAAGAACAGTTGTTCCTCAGTATCCACAGGGGACTGGATCCAGGAGCTTCACCAATACAAACTATGCAAATGCTCAAATCTCTTATGTAAGATGGCATAGTGTTTGCTTACAACCTGTACATATCCTTTGTATACTTTAAATACTTCTAGATACTTCTAACATCTACTCCAATGCCAATGCCATGCAGGCAGTTATCATTACTGTTTTGCCTAGGGAATGATGAGAAAGAAAGAAAGTCTATACATGGTTAGAACACTACATGTTCATTTAGTCCCAAATAATCTTCATCTGCAGTAGCTTCACGGAACCTGTGGATACAGATGGACAATTACATTCAACTGACTTTTTCTTAGCCTGGTGCTAAGGAAAAATGGGCCAAAAAGATAAGAAGTTTATGAACACTTTTTTTTCACAAGATTCAAAAAGTTCCATGTGAGAGTGCTTTATGCTCCTTGTCTTCTCTGAGGTATTCTAGGACAGAGATGCAGGAAACCTCAAAACAAACCTAGACCTGTTTACACAAGATTGGAACATTTACAGAGACTTTAATATTGAAATGAGAAAAATCCTGGTCACTCATAATAAATAATACATGTACTAATTCACATCTTTTTTTCCTTAGAGAATAATGTTACAAAACTGGATGAGACCTTAGTAGTTAAGGCGTGCAAAGCAGCAGGACACAGATGGCCCAGATACATTTTTAATATGGTTCTCACTGTTTGTTTGCTTTTTAATTCAGGACACTTCACATAAAAATCCAGAGACTTTTGCTTTCCTTGAAAACCTGGCACATTGCTCTAACCAGGCCTTGTCCCCTCCTTAGTCTTACCTGTTAGACCCACAATTTTGTTTTGGCTTTTTAAAATTATTATTAGAACAGGTCTAGATCCAAATAAGGGCTTCCTGACACACTGGCTCTGACCTTCTACAGTGTACAGTCCTCAGCTCTATACTGATGGCAATTTCTTGACCTTATGGTGATTGGGAAGATTCAAAATGAAATTGATGGAGGTGCTTTGTAAACTACAATGTTAAGTGTTTACCATCATTATTCACCCCCAGTGCTCTGTGAATCTCATAAACCCTGTTTGCCTATTATTTGTCATTATTTGGCTTCCTTTTGCTCATGTTATTACGTCATTTGACACAGTTCAAGACCGAAGTTAAAGAATGTTGTATGCTTCCCTCACCTCACTTAACAAGAGGTGGAAAAGATGAACAGATATTAACAGAGAGCAAAATGTGTTTTGAATGGAGATTTACCAAGTCATTTTTATTTGTTATGAAAGAATAAAATTAGTGCAAGGGGTGATTACTGAATTACCAATGTTTCTAAGTGGTAGGTTGTAAGTTCACCCACTAGGCACCTGAGGCCTCAAAACAAAACGAGTCAGTCTGGGTGTTAGGGCTCCTGTGAAATAAGGGTCCTGATGTCTTTCACAGTTCCCATCTTAGCAAAGGACTTAGTACTTCAGGAGAAAATATCAAATTTTTAATAAAACTCTACAAGCTTAGATGCTAGAACAGTAAGGCATGGGAAATTTTTATATCTACTTCTATCAATGTATAGATGTAGATAAAACTAATGAATCAATGAGGTTGTCAAGAAGATGGAATTTCACCTTTGTGAAGAAAACTGCAGTTAATGAGGATGGTGTGATAAGAATAGGAGGTAGGAATTGGCTAAGTGAGTTAGGGTAAAAAGACCCCAAAGAAAAGTAGCCAGTGTCTTGGCTAAAAGTCAGTATGTCCTTGGGCCTCTTAGCAACATACTCTGTTCCAAAATCTAAAAATGACAAAAGTATTTGGGAGCTCTTGTCTAATCCCTGAAAGATTTTAGTGTTACCTCTTCAGAGGGGTAATGTTAGAGTAGCAAAAAGCCCCATTGAAAGAAAGAAAGAAAGAAAGAAAGAAAGAAAGAAAGAAAGAAAGAAAGAAAGAAAGAAAGAAAGGAAGGAAGGAAGGAAGGAAGGAAAAAAAGTTGTCAGAAAAACATGATGGGGAAATATGGGAGGTGTTGGAAAGGACAGTGGGTGTGGATTTGATCAAAACACCTTATATGCATTATGAAATTCTCAATAAAGTTTTTTTTAAATTAAAATCATGCAGTGGACAAGGAAATGTCAGAAAAGCTGTATGACACCAATGTCAGCTATCCTGGTATCTTAGAAATTTGCAAACGCTGTTCCTATTCCTCTTCTGCCAATTTACAACCCCAAAGCAGTCTGGTGTGGGGTGCGACGATAAAATCATCTCCTCTTAGTGTTGAGCTAATATAAGTGAGATGCAAAACAGAACTGGAAACAGGATGGTATTTAAACTGGAATCCGCTTTCTTTATAAGATCACCAAAATTGGAGAAACCTATGATTCAAGACACAGTCAGTTGAAAAATTCATCTGACAGGTCCGTTTTAATACATATCATATGATCCAATTATGGCTTTTTAAAAAGTTGAATGAAACCGCTGTCTGGATACAAATTAACGACTACCAAATTGTTACAAGATCCCCAATGTATATATTATTTTAAAATAGGATTTGGGAAACCAGTTCTTTCAAAATATGTCCCAAGGCTGATGTTTAAGCAAGTATCCTTGGCAACCAGGAAGCATAATGCATACTGGGCTGGGGGAGGCGGCAGTAACTCCAGGCTGGTAGAATAAGTAACCCCAGTAGTAAATTACTCCCGCAACGCGACGCCAACAGAGGCTGCATCCCCTGAAATTTCAACTCTGGGTCTGGCGCACCAGCAGCCTCCCACCCTCCCCCACCCGAACCTGTCCCGAAGAGAGACTGGCTTACCCGGTGCCGGGAGCGGTCTGCTGGGCTCTGCAACCGAGGCGGCCAGCGGGCACCCGGAGGTCCCCGGTACACAAAGCTCCGCTTCGCCCCACGATGCCGGGCTGGGGAACACTGCAGCAGCTCGGATCCGCCTGGCTGGGGCTGCGGTTGTGATGATCCAGCGCGCTGGCGTGTGTGTGTGAGTGTGTGAGTGCGCGTGTGTGTGAGTGCGCGTGTGTGTGTGAGTGCGCGTGTGTGTGTGAGTGCGCGCGTGTGTGTGTGAGTGCGCGCGTGTGTGAGTGCGCGTGTGTGTGTGTGAGTGCGCGTGTGTGTGTGTGTGTGAGTGCGCGTTTGTGTGTGCGTGTGTGTGTGTGTGCACGCGCCTGTGTCTGTCTGTGTGTGCGCGCCAGCCCGCGCGCTCCCAGACTGCGGTGGGGACGGGTGTCCCGGGGAGGAGAAAGTCCCAGACCCTGCGGGTGGCGCGTCCAGCTCCGCTC